GATCTAGAAAACCCGAAGTGAACAGAGAAGTTCATGAAGGTAGGCCTAGGCCCACTGGGGCTGTAGTGCCAAGGGGGAAAAAAATATCTGATACGAAGGCCAAGAATAGTAGAGCTATACCTAGAGCTATACCTCCACTCCCTTATCTGTCTTCATGTCACAGTACTTGAATTATATCCGAACAATTTTGAAATCCGAAACAGAAATCAAAATGACGTAAAATTTCCTCATGAACTGCCTTCTTGCAATTGTTTTTTCGAGTCCCTTACGTCGGTAAATATCATTGAATTCTTAAAAGTTTCACTTTTAAATTGGAATTTAGCTTCTGGATATGTCATCTGAGTTCATCTTTTGTCCCCCGTTCACTTATTGATTAATCTTGAGTGGATCAGACCAAATGTCGTTTGCTTGCAGCCCAAACTTAAATTTCCAAGACACGCGGCCGGACCTCGTTACGTTTCCGTGTTATGTCACTATGGATTTTGATAGAGGGAACTTGGCACACGCCCCTTCTGCCTTACGTACCTCTAGAAACTGTGACAGATCGCATGTACCGTGTTATAGTTCCCTAGCAAGCGCACCTCCAGGAAACGACTGCCGAATGATAGATGTCATGTGGCCATTACAGGAAGAAAAGCTTTCATCTGCGAGAGTAAATTACAACTCCCGGGACACCTCGACGCTAAGATGTCGTTGGGTGGCACACCAACGCTATTGTCTCCTAATTAAAACTCACTTTGATTTACTAAATCTATGAGGTCACTTCTGTAAAATTGCCGTATCTCGTATCGACAATAAAACAAAATAAACTATAGAAATGGCAACAATTTTGATACCAAGTCTGGCTCTATGTTTTCTGCATACATTTTAAGGAGTTTAATTGTGGAGGAATTATAATCCACACTTTTTTTCCTTGGTACTACAGCCCCAGTGGGCCTAGGCGTACCTCCATGAACTTATCCGTTCACTTCGGTTTTTCTAAATCTTACACATTCGGTAGGACCCCTTGGGCGGGTGATCAGAAAAACACGCACACACAAACTAAACATCCATGCCCTGAGTGGGATTCGAACCCACGATCCCGGCTTCCCAGCGAGCGAAGACAGTGCACGCCTTAGACCGATCGGCTACCGTGACCGGCCCAGATACTTTAGGATAATATAATAATGAATACAGAACCTAAATCGTGGCATAATTAAATTTTGATTGATGTTTTTTATTTTTACTATTATAACAATCACAACTGATATTGTAAAGTTATTTACAATAATGGAAAAAACAGCAACTACAGAGACTTATTAAAACAGTCAACTTGAAGAGCTTAATATAATAGATATTTTGAAGTTGGCATGTCTGATACATACAACATTCGAGGGTCTCACAGCGGTGGTTATGACGCGTTCTGCCTTCTGGAATATAACGCCGTGTAGTCTGTTGAAAGTTGACTGACGTTTCGGAGGGACATATCGGCTCCATTTTCAGGGTCGAGGAGTAAACAACCAAGAAATCAGTACGAAGCAGGCAGCAAGCAGAGTCCTGGTTTCTTGCTCAACATTATCTTCAAAACTGAAGATGGAGGCAACGTATTCCCCTAAAACAACGTTTAATATTTAACTGATTAGACAACGTCATATGCTAGAAGATACGGTTCATGTTCGTTACACTTTTGTTTAGTCTTTCTTGGTTTTATTAGTAACACTTTTATGGCAGTAGTTGCAACATTTAGGAGTAAATCAAGGAATAGAACTGTGAAGTTTGTCAGCGGTGAACGGGTTTTTCTGGGTTTGCCCTCTGCGCTGTTTATCTCGTAGTAGAACCCAGTTATAATAACCTTTACTGGTATCTTCAGTGTCGGAACATGAGGGACTCGGATAGTGACGGACATTCTGTTACGTTGAGCTCCACCTGTAACAGAAAAGTGCTATTATATAGTAAAAGTTAAAGCAATCCTTGTAACAGGCTTTGGAGGCCCATAGTGTTGTGAGTCGTCAAAGGTCTCACATTTTTTAGAAAATCGGCTCACAGATTTCGGTGAGGTTGTCAGCCTTACGCTCCGGCCGGCCGCCCTTTACCCCCAGGAATATTCATGGTACTCATTTCTGTTAGAGGCCCAGTCAACCCCCGGGCCATAGTGCGGCTGGAAGATCGGGTCAATTGAAAAATCCAGTGACTTCGTCGGGATTTGAGCCCGCGACCTTCCGGCTTGTAGCATAGTGCCTCAACCAACTACGTTACCGCGTGTCCCTTACGAGAAAGTTACATTAAAAGGGGAAAATATTAACCTGAAACCTCTCTGACTTACAGCCCGAAATTTGTAATTAAGATGTTCACTTATTGTCTGCAGCTACCTGACTGAGAATTAAATTCTAGGCCTATCTGTACAAAAAAAACCGTGGTTTTAGTCCGCAAGTGAACTATACCGACCGAGCTACCGCCGCTTATCGGAGAAGTTAGTGCCAATTATAGAGGATAGAGGGTGTCGCGTGGTCAGTGCAACGAGTCCCCACGGTCGTTAATCTCGGTTTCTAGACGGGAGCCACTATTCCTTTGTTCCTCAATTATCCTCACGAGGCTGAGTGGACCCTGTTCCAGACCCACTACTTCTCAGAAATTCTGGTAGCGCAGGGAATCGAACCTGGACCTCTGGATCTGTAGCCAGAAACTCTGTCCACTAGAACACAGAGGCGATCGGCCTATCTGTATAAAAGGAACAAGTGTGTGGACCGTATATAAAATGCAGTATTTGCATCCCCTTTAGAGATTGCGGACTGCAAGACAATAAAAAATATTAAAGAAATTCCTTCTAGAATATTATTTGTCTCCTTGTAATCTAATGTCGTTCTAAATACAGACCTACCTGCTTTCAAAAGACGCCGAGTTCCTGCAATATGCTTCCTAAAGCGAACACGTGTAAATCGATGGCTCATTTCATTACTAAGTGAATATTTTGAACGGA